GTAATCACAATGAAAGCAGCTTCAGGGTCTGATAATGTGAACCTGCAGTTTTCTCAGCGCCCAGCAGAGGGCGAGTCATTTGGCAGTACATCAGAGAGGGTGCGGCCATCTTTTAAATACAGTCTGATCGGGTGGCGAGGCTCCTCCTCCTGAGTGGCTGGTCGCAGCTTCTCCTTCTTTAAATGTGTTTAAACCCGTTTCTACTCAAGTCTTTATTTAGTTCATTTAGTTTTTACTGTATTTTATTCTCAGAGCTTTTTGCTCGTCTCCGTGTTCCTCATGGTTCCACCTGATTTAGCTTTTTAAAATCTGTGGTTGAGATTATCTTTGGAGTCACTTTTCCGGGGTTTTCCTTCTGGGCTCCCTTTGGTAGGGATGAGCAGCAGCTCTTGACGTGACGAGAAACAAACCAGCAGGAAGCAGTGAGGGTGCTTCCTGTTTGGAGGCTTCCTGCCCAGCTTCAGGACGGCGAGGTCGTTAACATCAGACTGCAGGCGTTACCGTGGCTACAGATTAATGCACACACACACACTCGTGTTGGACACCATGCTGTCAGTTGTGAGCAGATGGCGAGAAATGAAGAACACAGTGTGTGTGTGTGTGTGTGTGTGTGTGTGTGTGTGTGTGTGTTTCAGTGTGTGTGTGTGTGTGTGTGTGTGTTTCACAGGCCACCACTTGGGTTTTTTTCTCCTGAGGAACAAAATACAGTTCAGAGCTTCCTTTGAAATGTGTGATTTGAGCTGCAGTGTGACACTGATACCTGTGTGTGGATCAGCTGCTTTGTTGCCAACAGGAGCTGCTGAGGACGCGTTCAGCTGCTGTAGAGGAAACAGTGGAGCTGTTGTAGCGGCGCCGTAAGGAGCTTAAAGCTCTGCGGCTGGATTTATTTTCTTTCACTGAGCTCATTTCCAAACAGGCCGTCATGTTGCTCTGAGCGTGTTTGCTTTACTTTATCAGCTCAAAGCTAAAGAAGGAAAACAGAAGAAGGGTGAGGCTGAATGTCAGCAGACCTCACAGGCCGGGGCGGCGGGTTCAAAAGTCCCGCCTCCCATCGAGGAGGAAATCC